AAGGATCGTGCCCCCCCAACAACTGCGCAATGGCGCTCGAATGGTGACGCCATGCGCGCGCGGGAGGCCCGTGTGGCCCCCGTTGACGAACATGTTGGAACACAAACACCAATGGCTTCCCCCAAGAATCGCAACAACGCGCGCGAAGATTTGTTCTAGAGGTCGCTATGCACAACCATTTGTTGATTTAACTACGTCTTCGGAAACATCGATCGTGAACTCCTTATAGTGGCATCTTGTTTGTTTCGATTCCGGCATGCGCGCGCGACGCTGCGCGCACGTGGACTGTGTTTTATTTTTCGTAAACAACGGTTGAAAATTCATGGTTTTCGAAAACGAACACCCGCGCATCGCATTTTTTGGCAAAGGTGACGGGGGGGGCGATACGGCCATCCAGGGACGGTCTGAATTCGTGTGAACATGAACAGAAGGCAAAATCAGCAATCAACTGCAATGTCCCACGGGGTGCTGCTAAGTCTGGCCTCGGGAGGATGGTGGGACCAACGCTCTGTTTAGGAACAAGGGAGTTTATACTGCGCATTCTACGTGGTGCAATATATGTGGTGCAATCTGTGTGGTGCGCAATCTACTTGGTGCAACCGACGTCTTGCAATCGATGTGGTCCAGTTCGCGTGGTGTTGTGTATGTGGTGGAATCTACGCGGGGCAACCAACGTGGTGCAAGAATATGATGTGCGACCTATGTGGTGCAATGTTTTTGGGACAGTCTAGGCGGTGCAATCTTTGTTGGGCATCTATATTGTGAACCTCTGTCGTGTGATCGACGTGTCTAACCGACGTGGTGCAATCCGCGCGGTGCACTCTATACTGTGCAATGGAATGGTGTAAGCTATGCTGTTGCATCGGCGTGGCGCAATCTACAGTGCAATGATTCACCCTGCCGAACCTGATGTTGTCAACTCCACTGTTCGCGCAATGGTCCCACACACCCACCCGCATCTTGGTTTGTCAAATTCATGCGGCGGCGATTGCCGTGACTGCTGGGCGCTGGCTGGCGCATCGTTGCGGCCGCGTCAGCGCGCGCAGGCTCGCGCGCAAAATGGCCAATTAGTCTGGCGCGACCGACGCGGTTGCGGTGGCGCTGACCGCTGGGGGCTTCCCAGCGCGTCTCGCAGACCGCACTGCCACGCGGGCGCTTCAGTGCGAGTCGGTGACTCGGGCGGGAGCGGTATCATGGCGACGTCGACGAAGGTAGACGCGGTGATGCTAACAGTGGTGCTGGGGGCGAGAATGACGGTGACGACGGCAAGGTCAATGACGGCGCCGATGCTGATCACGCCGATGACGATGATGTTGTTCACGCGTCGGTGATGGAAGTTTTGGGAGGATTTCGACATGCGCACGCGGCCGACGGGCGCGAGTGGCACGCATGGTGTGATTTGACCGGGGCCATACCCCCCCCCAACGCACGCGCGCAAGGGCGTTCCAAAGATTTGGGCATTCACGCGCGAGCCTGTCTGGTCGCATGTGATGGAAAATTTGAAGGACATCTGGTTCTCTCAAGAGCTTTCAACAACGCGCGCGCTTTTAGAACACATACATGTTGCAAAACCATGTTATGGTACATAATCGGGACATTCGGCTTTGACATCTTCTCGAAATCCATTGTTGTTCGGCTGTCGGCATGCGCTCGCGACGACGCGCGCGTGCGTACGCGCGCGTGCGTACTTCGTCTCATGTTCGCAAAGGGTCCATTAAACACTGACGATTTCTGTCTAACGAATGCGCGCGCATAGCACGATCTGACACTGATGAAAAGGAGGTGTCCATATTGGCTTGGCTAAGGTGGTGCGAACTCATTCAAAGAATGAGCGACGGGGCAATATCGTTACTAAATTGCACATCCCTGGGATGGACAGTGAACTCCCGGGCGGGGGTGGTAGATCCAAATTCCTTGTCGGACAGGCGAATCTGTGACGTGCAATCTCTGTGGTGCAATCAGCCAACGACGAGAGGCGATGGCAGCGACGGGGCGGCGACGAGGGCAACATAGCCGCCAGACCGACGCAGAGGCCCCGACGATGGCCAGCGACGAAGCGGCGACGGCAGCAACATAGCCGCGAGACCGACGCACAAACCCCGACAATGGCCAGCGACGAGGCTGCGACGCAGCGGCGACGGCAACAACATAGCCGCGAAACCGACGCCCAGACGATGGCCCGCGACGAGGCGGCGACGGGGCGGCGACGGCGTCAGCATAGCCGCGGGACCGACGCACAGGACAAGTTCCGTAGAACAGAAATGAAGACTTCTTAGAGCAAGCTTCCAAATGATCGCAGCAGCCATCCAAGAGGCCTCTGACCTACAACCCAGGAATGGTGGTGGGATGGGCCGAAGGACACTGGATATCCGCCGCCCCCTTTTGATTTATCAAAGGGGTGCCTGGCGTGCCGGATGATATGGCTTTTGGTTTTGGTTCTTTTTCCAAAAGAACTCCCCCTGGGGCTTCGGCCCGTCCCGCCGGGGTCCTGGGAGGCTCTTCCGGAGGTGGTTGCCGTGGGTTTTCCTGCCCCAGACGGCTCCAAGATGGCTTCCAAGATGCTTCCAAGACGGCCCAAGATGCACCCAAGACGGCCTAAGATGGCCTCAAGCTGGCCCAAGAGGCCCCGAAGAGGCCTCCAAGACGGCCCAAGAGGCCTCCAAGAGGTCCTCCAGGAGGGCCCGAAGAGGCCAACATCATTGATTTTCCTTGGGTTTTTGAAGGATTTTGGAATTTGCTTCTCGGCATTCCGACGGCTCAAGACGGCCCGAGAGGCCCCCAAGTTCGCCCAAGAGGCCCCCAAGAGGGCCCCATGACGGCCCAAGTGGCCTTAAAGACGGCCCCAAGAGGGCCCCAAGACGGCCCAAGAGGCCTCCAACACGCCCCAGATGGCCTCCAAGACGCCCCAGATGGCCTCCAAGACGGCCCCGAAGCGCCCCAAGAGGGCCCCAAGTCGGCCCAGAAAGGCCTCCAAGACGGCTCCCGACGGCGTCAGACGTGCCAGGAACCCACCAAGATGACCGAAGTTGGCTCGAAACTGGCCCAAGACGGCCCAAGAGGCCCCCAAGAGGAGGCCAAAAACATTGATTTTCCGTAGGATTTTAACGAATTTGACATTTGCTTCTTTTCGGCCTTCCGACGGCCCGACTCGGCCCAAGAGCCCCCAACGATCGCCGAAAGATCGCCCAAGAGGCCTCCAAGGTGGCCCCAGAACGGCCCAAGAGGGCCCCAAGACGGCCCCAAGAGGCCCCCAAGACGGCACAGGAGGCCTTTAAGACGCCCAAGATGGCCTCTAAGACGGCCCTGGAGCATTCCAAGAGGGCCCCAAGTCGGTCCATAGAGGCCCCCCAAACGGCTTCCGACGGCGTCAGACGGCCGAACATGGCCGAACATGGTCCTAAGATGGCCCAAGACGGCCCAAGAGGCCTCCAAGAGGGCCTCCAGAAGGCCAGACAAAAACCCAATATCATTGATTTCACATGCGTTTTTGGAGGATTGTGGCATTTATTTGTTTTTTCTGCCTTCCGACGGCCCGAGACGGCCCACATGCCTCCAAAGATCGCCCAAGAGGCCCAAGACACGGCCCCAAGAGGTCCCCAAGACGGCCCAATAGGTCTCCAAGACGCTCAAGATGGCCTCCAAGACGGTCCAAGAGCCATCCAAGACGTCCTCCTAAAAGGCCCGAAAGGGTCAAAATGGCCTCCAGACGGCCAAGATGACCTTCAAGATGCCCACGTGTTCCCCGAAGGCTTTCCAAAACCGATTCGGGGAACGCATGGTCCGATAGCTTGGCAGGTCTGGCCTCAACGTTCGGCCACATAGGCGCTTCCAAAAAGGCAGGGGGCGGCGATGATTCGCCGTAGGCGTCTTCGATCAGAGAAGCGCAACATCGGTCAACTGCCTGTCCGAAGCAACGCGTGACTCATCGAGGGTGAGCGCCCGACTGGGCACGCATCACAACGACTCAGACATGGAACATGTGTGCACGCGGGCACGGAGAACACGGAGGAGAGACAGGGGGGAGACAGAGGAGGAAAAGGAGGGGGTGCTAAGGGTACGGGCGAAGTATCAATATGATAGGTCCTCCTATTCCCCCTCCGCCGCTTCGTACTTCGTCTCCTCCTATTCCTCAGCAAAGAAGGCATGTTGAAAAGGGGAAGGAGGAATACGTAACACCCCGCAATCGCGGATAAGAATGAAGGGGCGGCGGGGACGTCTGCAGTCCGTGAACTCTGAAGGACACCGCCGCAAGCACCTTTCTTTGGTTTTAAAGAATTATAAACAAACCCGCCGCAGGCCCCGCTTTTTCGCTAAACCAATGCGGGTGGGTCGCGGGGTGGGTCGCGGGGTGGGTCGCGGGTGGGTCACGGGTGGGTCGCGGGTGGGTCGCGGGCCGGGTCGCGGGTGAATCGCGGGCTGGGTCGCGGGCCGGGTCGCGGGTGGGTCGCGGATGGGTTGCGGGTGGGTCGCGGGCGGGTTGCGGGCGGGTCGCGGGCAAGTCGCGGGTGGGTCGCGGGATGGGTCGCGGGCGGGTTGCGAGCGGGTCGCGGGCGGGTCGCGGGCCGGGTCGCGGGTGGGTTGCGGATGGGTCGCGGGGGGGATGACGCCAAACAACAACAACAACAACAGCAACAACAACAGCAACAACAACAGCAACAACAACAAACACAACAGCAACAACAACAACACCACCACCACCAACACCAACAACAACAACAGCAACAACAACACCAACAACACCACCAACAAGAACACCAACAACAACAACACCAACAGCAACAACACCACCAACAACAACAACGAACAAGCATCCCAACAAACAAACAAGCAACTTAACGAACAACAACAACAACAACACCAACAACAGCAACAACAACAACGTCAGTCCGCATCGCCGAATCCCCCTTCAGCCACGCACCCAAGGACAGTGAATGACTGTTCGGCCCCGTGACTCGGACGAGGAGGACGGAGGACGCCACAGATTTCCCGCAGATGGCCGCCTGTCGTCACGACCCACCTGCAGGGCGCGGTAGAACAGGAAGGAGGTCAGCCTGGCCCGGGGCCAGGCACGGATGGGAGGGGATGGGAGGGGCGGGGGAGAGCAAACAATTCTCTGGGGGAGCAGGAGGAGTGGCAGGAGAAGGATGGTGCGCATGACGAAAGAATGGCAGGAGCAGGAGGAGTGGCAGGAGCAGGAGGAGTGGCAGGAGCAGGAGGAGTGGCAGGAGCAGGAGGAGTGGCAGGAGCAGGAGGAGTGGCAGGAGTGGCAGGAGACGGATGGTAGTTATGAGTGATGGTGCGCACGACGAGAGAGGACCAGGAGGCGAACAGCAGCGGAGTGGGGATGTGGTGGTCGAAAGGGGAGCAATGGTACAACTATGGCAGCACTGGCGGCAACTCTTGGTGTTGCAGAGCGACCCACCCTCCGTGGGGTGAAATGGCCATCCACATCCCGCCTGGACGAAAACAAACATGATCTGGAATCGAGGGCCCGGCCCACCCCTGCCGACGGAAACGGAGGAGAGGAAGAAGAGGCGGAGGGCAGAAAGGGAGCCGCCGGCTCCCATTCGCCGTGCAGCCATGGCGGCAATGAGGAGGCGAGCTGAGGTGGGCGGGCAGGTGAGGGAGGATGCTCAGAACGAAATGGAGAGGATGGCAGGGAAGATGGAGAAGGAGGGATAGCAAACAAACACTGGTGAGATGCATCTGCCATGATGAGTGGCAGGATGCCCGTGCAGAAGGCATGACTGTTTGTGGGGCGGGGCCAGGAAGATGAGGCAAGATACAGTCAAACAGTACGGTAAGGATGCGCGATGAAGATGCAAGGGCCTTGGACGCCCGTTTCAAAGCTCTTCGAGCGGGGCGAGGCCAGCGAAAACGGTGAAGGATGGACCGACGAGGCAAGGATGCAAGGGTACCCTTGGGAAAATTGCCCATCCTCACTATGCGGGTTGACTGTAATGGGGAATGAGAGAGGATGCCGAAGAATTCTCAAGTCCCTTCGAGTCCTCTGCGTTGGATATGAAGAGTGTTCGCCGGATTTCCCAGGCTGTGCCGCTGAAGCTCTCTGAGGCCCGAGGGCCCCAAGACGAGCCAACAGCCTTGCCCGATCGAATTTTGCCTCCGGGCGGACGCATGCGGGCTGGTGCTTGCACGGCCTGGCTGTGCGTCCTGCAGCGGCCGATTCGATTCGATTCCGACTCCGTGCCGACCCGATTTCATGCGCGCTCCAATCCGACCCGATCTCCCGACTCGATGCTGACTGATCCTGCCCCCCAGCAGATCCGGATCACTTCCCCAGGGCTTGCTTCTCTAGAGGCCTCCTAGATGGGGTCCGAGTAGATGGGGTCGCAGGATCTCGCCGCATCGCCAATGCATCGCCGATGTATCGCCGATGCATCGGCGACGTCGGCGATGCGACGTCGGCGATGCATCGGCGACGTCGGCGTGGGCAAACACGTTCTCCACATCGAGCCGCATCGTCGATGTATCGACGATGCGGCGCGATCCCCCCACCCCATCTACTCGGACCCCATTTGGGAGGCCTAGATTCTCACCCCGCATCGTCAGTCGACCGCCCCCTGTGGCGCGGGAAGAGCCCCTGGAGGCCGAGCCTTGCGACACGCTTCCGTCCAGCGTGATCTCTCCGCGACGCGAGGAGGAGCCTGCCTTGAGCAAGAACCGACGGACCGACCGTCCAGCATTCTTATAGGCCTAAAACAAGCAGTGTTCTCATAGCCCAAGCCCGATGTGATAAAACAAGTCAGTCCCAGCCACCAACGTTCTGAGAACATTCCGTTGAAATCACAAAAGGTTCTCAGAACATCGTTTGGTAGGCCTACCCATCGGTCGGAAGAAGTGAGAGGAACCATGAAGTAGGAAGGCATTGGAAGTAGACTGGGCCTCCGCCCGCCCCCGGATGAGGCGGTCCATCCCTGAAGCAGGAGGGCGCCAAAAATAGAATGGAATCTGGGAGTCCCAAAGTACATACTTTCAACGACCGATGGGTAGTCGGGAGCTGCCAAGAGAGGGGTGCCCAAGAGGGGGGGGTGCACATCATAACCAGCGGCATGTGCGCGGCCCAGCGGGGGGACCAGGGACGTAATGACATAAGAAGAGGCGCCATGAAATCTGAGGAAAAATCATGGCCCGCGCCATGAAATCCCCCCCCCCAGTTATCACCCCCCTCTTTGCCGCCCCAGATATAGGCACGCCAGGACGCTTCCCCACCGGTTGAACTGCCCCCCTGCCGCCCCGCCACCCCTGCGGGGAACGGACGCCGCGGCCGCGCCCGGCCGCCCCGGCGGCGAGGGCCGGCCCGCCTGGCCGCCCAGAGCGCCACCGCGGCCGCGGAGAGGTTGGAGCTGGCGGCGCGGCGGAGGGGCCGGCAGAGGAGGGGGGGGGAGGAGGAGGAGGAGGAGGAGGAGGAGGAGGAGGAGGAGGAGGAGGAGGAGGAGGAGGAGGAGAGGAGGATGAGGAGCAGGAGGAGGAGGAGGCGGGGGAGGAGGAGGAGGAGGAGGAGAAAGAGGAGGAGGAGGAGGAGGAGGAGGAGGAGGAGGAGGATAGGAGGGAGGATAGGAGTAGGATAGGAGGAGGAGGAGGAGGAGGAGGAGGAGGAGGAGGAGGAAGAGGAGGACAAGGAGGATAGGAGGATGATAGGAAGAGGTGGAAGAGGACGAGGAGAATGAGGAGGAGGAACGGAACGGAACTCGGAGTTCGGAGATCCGCGAAAAGACACCAGAGGGCATCGGGAAAGGAGAGGCCATGCAGGCCGGGCGGGGAAGGAAAGGAGAGGAGGAGGCTCACGGGGCTCCCGGATGTCCCGCATCGAAGAGAAGAGCCGCGCGAACCTGCCTGTTCACACGGCGAGGGGTGTGTGGAAACGGGGGGGGCGGCAGCGATGTCCAGCGTGTAGAAAAGAGCCACGCAGGGCTACCCACCTGCCGTGGTAAGAAAGGAGAAAGGAGAGGAAGAGGCGGAGGAGAGGGAACTGGAGGAGGAGGCGGAGGAAAGGAGAAGAGGCGGAGAGGAGGAGGAGCTGGCGGAAGAGGATGATGATGATGATGATGATGATGATGATGATGATGATGATGATGATGATGATGATGATGAGGACCACTGTAAACCCAACAGTCATCAACGATGTTGGAATAAACCCTCCCTCCAAGCTCCCTCTTCATAGGCCCCTGCAACAGTTCATTTCCATTGATGGAACTGCCTCGTTGGAAGACACCCGTTTGAAGACCCTGAATCATGCCAAAACATTGTTCTCGGGATTCCCTAACACCACGGATCAAGCTGACTCTTGAATCTTGAAGAACCTGAATCGTGCCAGAACGCCGTTCGTAGGACTTCAACATAAATAATCGACGCAACTGTTGCGCCCGCATAATCCAGAATCCTTCCAAAACACAATTGCTGGTACGTTGATGGCGGGAATCCGTGAACCTCTTGAGAAAAACGAATGTGCGCGGCGCTAAGGCGAGAGCCACACTTTGAAAAGAAGCCGTCCTCAATCCGTGAAGCTCTTGCAGATATTTAAAACGAACGTGCGCCGCGCTGGGGCGAGAACCACATTTTGAAAACGACTCGCCCTCAATCCGTGAAACTCTTGCACATATAAATAACGAGTGCGCGCGGCGCTAAGGCGAGAAACCACATTTTGAAAACGAACCGTCCTCAATCCATGGAGCCCTTGCAAATGTTTAAAACATGTGGGCGCGGCGCTAACTCGAGAACCGCATTTTGAAACGGAGCCGTCCTCAATCCGCGAAGCTCTTGCACATGTTTAAAGCGAATGTGCGCCGCGCTACGGCGAGAGCCACATTTTGAAAACGAGTCGCCCTCAATCCGTGAAGCTCTTGCAAGCGTTTAGAACGAATGAGCGCGGCGCTAAGGCGATACCACATTTTGAAAACCACCCGTCCTCCATCTGTGAAACTGTTGCCACTGCTTGACCTTCAATCATACATGGTGAGGAAGTCTCAAGCGAAACGCCCGGCCCGCCCAAAAAACGAGCCTCGGGGTGCGACATGGAACAACATTTGCAAGGAAAAGGAATGGAGGACGAGGGGGATAGGAGAAGGAGGAGGAGGAGGAGGAGGAGGAGGAGGAGGAGGAGGAGGAGGGAGAGGAGGAGGAGGAGGAGGAGGAGGATACGAGGAACGAACGAGCGAACCAACCTCGGAGCTCCCCTGCTCCGACCACACACGAGCCGTCGCTTTGTTTGCCTGACAACCTGTCAATTTGTGCCGAGGGCCCGCAGTCGTTCTCGAGCGATCAGGCCCGATTTGAGCAGGAGGAAAAAAAAGAGGAAGAGGAAAAGGAGGAGGAGGAGGAGGAAAAGGAAGGGGAGGAGGGTGGGGAGGAGGAGGAAGAGGAGGAGGAGGAGGAGGAGGAAGAGGAGGAGGAATGCCACCTGGGCTGCCGGAGACGCCTCGAAGGAGATCGAAGCTGGCAGCCTGTCGCCTGCCCTGGCCTTTGGGGGCCGGCTTCGGGCCTTGGGGGGCCGTCAACAAAACAAACTCGGGCTACCACGCCGGCCCCGGGGAGGGTGTGGATTGGCCATCGCTCGGACGTCCATTCCCCGTGTTTGTTTCGGTTTCGTGCATGGTTTTTCTTCGCCAAATGATCAAGAATGCTCCTCGATAGTCCTCGCCGAAGGAAGAATGCACACGTCCGAACGATGCCAATCGGAGAGGTCTGGGGGCCCAAACGTCGAACAGCAAAAGCTCAGCGCTGTATGTCTAGAGTTTTGGGGTTCCTCGCCGCCACGCCCGGAGCAGCCTTCTCTGCGCCCTCTGCCTTTTTCCGAATCCTCGTTGCCGTCCCGTTTCCATTGCTGCTCTGCTGCGCCTGTCTGCTTAGCGTGCGAGGAGAGGCGCTGCGCTTGAAGGTGGCGCGTTTCCCGTTTTCCCCTTCCCCTGTCTCCCCACCTTTGGTGTCCCTGGCGTTGTGCTCGATTCGGCTGCGACCTGTCATGCCGTCAGCTTCCATCCAACCAATCGCGGAGGACGAGGGACAGAGCAAATCCAGTATGCATTGACGATGCGGCACGCACACGCCCTCCCGCCCCAAGTCCAATGGTAGGTCGGGCCTGCCCCCCCTACAGGGGGATCTTAAGCGAACAGTAAACACATACTCAAACAATATCCTCAAACAGTCAGAAAAAAACAAGTTTCCCCCATCCGTTTGTTTATACTATGTTTGAAGATTCCTCCTGTAGAGGGACAGGCCCGATTTAAGCGCGCGCCCGTCCGTCCCAAGTCCAGTTCTTGCATGTCCCTGCGAGTGCTCCTCTTCGCTGCGGGAAGCGCCCCGTGGAGAGACATGAGCGCGCCCGTGGGCCTGGCATGCAAGCGAATGCCCCGTTTGGCGGAGGAGGAACCCTGCAACGGCATGGCCACGGGCAGAACGAAAACATCGGATCACCAATTTCAAGGAGGCGTCCAACGAGAACCGCGTTCTTGAAAAGGATCCGCCAGCCTTGTAGCTGTTAGGCACTGTCGCATCTGAAATCGTAGATCACGAGAGAAGAGCTGCGTGTCTCCACGCATCCAGATGACGATATGGTTGAAGGCGTATCAGGTAGAGCCCGACTTTGAAAACGACCGCCGTCCATGCCTGCAACTGGCTGCAATGGCCACCTCGCAACTGATGCGATTCAGTTGAGAGCGCCTAGGACCAGCGCGCGCGCTAGGCGAACGAGGGGGAGGGGGGGGAGGAGGAGGAGGAGGAGGAGGAGGAGGAGGAGGAGGAGGAGGAGGAGGAGGGGAGGAGGAGGAGGAGGGAGGAGGGGAGGGAGGAGAGGAGGGAGGGAGGAGGCGGAGGGACGAGAGGAGGGGCCAGGATTTGGAAACGGTTCGCCCTCCATCCTCGGAGGTCGCGGGCACTGTCAAGACGAATGCGCGCGGCGCTCGGGGGGGGGGGGGGGGGGGGGGGAAGGGGGCAGGGCAGGATTCGGAAACGGAGCTGTGGCGCTGCGGCGCGGGCGCCATGTTGAAAACGAGAGGCCCTGACTCAGCGCGCCTGTAAAACGTGCGCGCGAACGTCAGACGGCCGCCGCGTTGCAATCGGGCATTTCGGACGCCGCAATTGCAAGGCGGCCGCCGCGCAACAGTTGGAATTTTCGGACATCGCTATCGCGCTACGGTGAGGGGGTCTCGAACGAATCATTCGGCCTGCCCTTCCGACGCGACTGGTAGCGAGATGATGGGGGAAGGGCGGGGGCGGGCGAGCGGGGGAGACGAACGCTGCCATCGCGCGAATGCGGCCGCGCGGAAGCCCCCCCCCGCCGCCGAGCTCCCGGACCAGATGGAGGCTCGGCGGCGCAGGTCGTCGTTGCGTCGTCGTCGGTGGCGGCTGCCCGCAACTGCGGCGGTGTTTCGCGGGCGCCGCCCGCCGCTGCGCCGCGGCGCCGCCGGGCTCTGCCGTCGCCCAGCTGCTCATGTAGCCGTCGTCCTCCTCTAGGGCGCCGACATCCACTAACGCCCCTGGCTCCCGAGGCAGGCGCGACCCGGGCCCAGCGGCGGCGCTGGCGCCGCGCCGAATTGGCTCAGCCAGGAGGGCGCGCCCGCGGCTCCTAGGCCCAAGGAAAGCGCGACCCCGAGACATGAATCAACAGTTTTCGTCGCCCGATCCTCAGCGGCCCGCCGCGGGCGCCCCCGGGAGTTCCAAGACGAGCGACTCCGGGGGCCGCGGCAGGCGCGCCGCTGCAAGCCGCGCCGTGGCGCGCCACGTGGAGGCCCGAGCCGCGTCCTGCTGCCGGTAGCGGGCCATCTCCTGGTGAGGATTTGGACCCGCCCAATGACGCCAGTGCGCTGGGTCCGCGGCCCTGGGGCCCGTGCGGACGCTGCCTCCGATGCGGCAAAATGGCAGGCCCGTGGTGAAGGACCACCACCTGCCTGGCGCGCCGGCGCCGTCCTGCAGCGGGGCGGAACGCACCCCAGAACCAACGCACTCAGGCGAGATGATCCAAGGCCCGCTAAGCCCTCTTCAGGATGCTCGAACAACTTCGGCTCAAAGAAACTGAAACCCCTTCCGCGGCGAAGCTCCCGCGTGCGTTTTCGATCGGGTTGCGTTCGGTGGCCCCCCGAGGAGGAACACACAAGATTTGATGTGCTACCATGTGCCGCGGAGGGCACTGATTTTGCTGAATTGACCTACTCAGCTGCGAGGAACCAACGAATTCAGTGGGATCGGACCCACTTTCGCCACCCTTTCTTTCGAAACCTCCTCTTCGTAATCACTTCGGTTCCTCCGGGGGCCTCTCCTCTCGATGGGGGAACGTTAGGGGGGACTGACTCAGAGCGGGGGAACATCGAGCTGGAATCGGCGCTGCATCGCCGATAGGTGGGCGACTGGG